TTCATTTTAATTTAAAAGTTCATGTCATTTAAAAAGAAGTCAAGAAACTGGGCATGATGGCACATGCATGCCTGTAATCCAAGCATTCTGGAAGGCTAAGACAGGAGGATCAAAATTTCAGCTCAGCCTGGGCAACTTAATGGGAACTTGTTTCAAAATTTAAAACATATATATATATATATATATATATATATATATAAAATAAAGGGCTGGGGATGTAGCTCAGTGCAAAGGCTTGGCTTTAGTCCCCACTACCACAAATAAGTAAACAAGTAAATAAATAAAGTCTGGAATCTAAAATTTATGGCAATGTGTTTTTCCCTAAAAAGTATTTTAAAAGGGTAATAGTCACAAAACACCTTATGCCTCATAGGAAGGGAACAAAATAAGAGTAATAAACATACTATTGCTGCTACTATAGTAGATGTAAACATTCTCCACAAACTCGGGTTTATGTCTTACTGTGTTTTAATTGAGATGAAATATTTATCTATGGTTGAGGGTGTAGAGTGCTTGCCTAGCATGCAAGAAGCCCTGGGTCCCACCCTCACAGCACACACACAAAAAAACGAAAAAACAAAAATCAATGAAACAATCCTCTAAGATTTTATTTTGCAAGGCTGGTAGGAAAACAATCTCAGTCTTTATCGGGCACCTCCCTAGAGTCAAACAAGTGTCCAAAACGCCTGCAAGAGACAGAGACATGTCTTCGGCCGAGTGACATTTTTGCGCTGCCCCATCATCTAAGCCCATACAGTGACTAGCAGAGCGCGATCTGCTGTACCAGTTTCAGGTGAGCCTCCTGCAGTCTGTCCCCAGAGCCTAGGGCCTCACGTCTTCATCCCTCTGGAGGCTCTTCCCTGAGCCCAGTGGCTTGTGAGATCCGCTGGCATTTGGCCTTGTCCTTGCAGTTTGGAGGAATCTTCTTTCTCGTTGTCTTCTTCCTTCCAGGAGACCCCCCAAGAAGTTCTGGCTTTGGGAAGACAGCAGCCAAGAAGGCAGGCTGTCTACCAGCAACTCGAACTTCACAGTTTTGCGAGGGAATTTGCACCAAGAGCTCTGAACATCTGATCAGAGTTGGGGCAAGGAAAAAGCCCAACACGAAACCCAAGGGATATTTTCATAAATGATCCTATATTATTGCTACTATTAACAAATGGCTAACATTATTGATTACTGAGCATTACTTTCTGCTCAGATGGCTCAACTTTTTGGGGGGGTGGTACTGGAATACCACTGCTCTGAGCTCTCCATCTGGTTGTCAGAATGCATTTGCCAAGACTCAAGAACAACAGTGCTGCTTGGGCGTAATTAATGTTTAGACAACAACTGGTCAGCGCACTCAGCTGCTTCTTGAGGTCACTCCTAGGATATGAAAATAGAGCCCTGCGTTGGTATAAACAGGACGTTTGTTTTCTTTGTGGTCTATCAAGAGCCTATCATCTCAGTCATGTAGAAGTTAGAGCAAATTGCTCAGGTACAGATTCCAAAAGGGAGAAGTTACAGCCTGGCCTAGTTTTGTGCTGTTTGAAATAGAAAATTGATGGATCTGAAATCCATTTCTTCTCAATATGACTCTTGATGTAGTAGTTTAATAAAGTCCCGAAAGAATATCTACAAAGTCCTAGGTCAGTTTTTAAATTGTGTGGCCCATAAATAATTCTTATTTATAGAATCAAAAGCAGATAGAAACAGTGAATCAATACACACTCATTCCAGCTGCGCCGCCTGCCCTCCCCAGCCCCGCGCTGGGCATGATGGATGCGTCAGACAGGCAGGTCTCTTTGCTCAAGTTGTCCGTAATCTGAGGTTTGCACATGTTATAGCCATCAGAATCATCCCTGAAGCTTGTCGAATACAGTGTTGCCCAGACTCCGCTACAAAATCAAAAAATCTCAAGAAGCAGAGCCCGGTTTTCTTCATCATTCACAAAGTCATCAAAGTTTTTGGGCCAGCTATGTGGCTGATGTTGTTCTGATAATGTAAACTGCTGCAATAAGAAATGTCTCAGCAAGTATTTAGAAGAGATATGCAGGCATATCTATCTATTTACATCAATTTATAAGTCTCTTATTTGCATGTATATTATTAAAATATACCTACAGATAAATATAATTTTTTATTTAAAATAATAATCAACACTTATTGAGCATTGACACGCAGCAGGCATTCTTAGTATATGTGCTGCGGAAGCGAGCACACCACCACGCATTCTTAATTCACTTAACCTTTGTGAAGAGCCTGCTAGGAACAAGATACTGTTCGTCAGAAAGTGAAACAGTTAAAAGTCCCTGCCCTGAGAGCAGTAACATTTTAGTAGGGGACTGCAACAATAAAATTAAAGGAGACAGTGGTGACTGTGGGTGCCGCGGCAGGAAGCAGTTCGATTGTAATTCGGAATAGGCTGGCAGAGGAAGAGTTGAAGGAGGAGAGGAGGGAGTCCCGGAGCGCAGCTGCTGCCAGTTTGGGGAATAGGAGGTGCACAGCCCTATCCAGAGGAGGAGACTTCTGGTAGCTTCAGGAAACAGCAAGGAGCCTGGAGGCTGGGACTCAACAGAGATGGGTCAGAGAAGCAATGAGTGGTTGGCAGAGGTGTGGGGCTTACAGGGCCCTTTAGGCCATGGAAGACTTTGGCTTTCCCTCCGAGGGGGATGGAAGGACACTACATGACATGTTTGAACAGGCTCGTTCCGGCCAGTGAGGATAGGCTGCTGGGGCTGAGCAAGGCTGAAAGCGTAATCCAGGGGAGGGAGGGGAGCTGAGGGGGCTGGGGTGGGAGCAGTAGAGATGGTAAGAAGAACACAGCTCCCAGGTGTGCAGTACTTTAAAAATACAGTTATTTTTACACTCGTGTGCCACATAGTGACGTTTTAGTCATCACTGATGCACAACGGTGATCATGAGATGATAGTGGAGCTGATGTTCCAGCTGGCGTAATGTGATAGCGTAAGGCATCACACCCACGTCTGCAGTGTGCTGGTGTAAATAAACCTGCTGTGCTAGCAGTTGTGTAAAAGTATAACACATACAAATATGTACAACACATGATACTGGAGAATGGTAAGAACAACTATGTTACCCGTTTATTATTTACGATACTATACTTTTCATTGTTAATTTAGAGCATAGTCCTACTTATTAAAAACATTTACTGTAACTAGTATGCTGGGTTATGCCAACAGCAGCTTCATTCATCTCGTGTTTACTGTGTCTCTTGATTCAATCAAGAGGCCACCTCGGGAGACTGACCTATACTAGCTAGGTTTGTGTACGCGTGCTCTATGTTGCTCGTATGGTGATGAAAGCAACTAGTGATTCATTTTTCAGAATTGGTCCCTGTCCTTAGTTGACACATGACTATCATGCACAAAAAATTATATACACTCATGGAGCACAATGTGATGTTTTGACCTATACATACATTATAGAAAGTTTCAGTCATGCTAACTAATGTATCTACCACTTCACCAATTTGTCATTTCTTGTGGTAACAATGTTAAAAATCTATTTTAGCAACTTGAAAAGTTACAATACATTATTAACAAGTGTGGTCACCATCTACTACATTAGAGCACCGAAACTTATTCCTCCACTCTCACTAAAACTTTGTACCCTTCGATCAGCGCCTTCTGTTTCTCCTCTGAAGGCAGAGCCAGCAGTTTTACTGATGATTTGGACATGGAGAGCATGAACAACATATAGAGGGTACAATAGAGGGCTTGCCAAGGATGTTGAGTGTGGCTGTTGGCTGTGCTTAGTCCATGGCTGGATTTGGTTTTGAGTGTGGAACAAGGTTTTGCTCCAGGAAAACAACCATAGCTTTGTTTGTAAACCACATCTCATATACTTAAAATTAGAGACTTGTGCTTACACAGTACTGTAAAGAAAAGTATTCTCATTTCAAGGAGCAGTCAGGGTAGTGTTGACCAGCTGCAGTAAGATGGTCACTGGGGGGCTGGGGATTTAGCTCAGTGGCAAAGCACCTGCCTGGCAAGCGCAAGGTCGTGAGTTCGATTCTTGGTACTGGAAGAAAAACAAAAACAAAACAACAAAAAAAAAGATGGTCACCGGGACCTTGGTAAATGGGGACTGTACCCACAATGACATTTCTTTCTGTCATATAGGAAACATCAGGGAAGCTACACTGGCCAATCAAAAGATAAGATAGTGAATCATTTCTTGTTCAGTTTATTTCAAGGCACTTTAACGTAAATTCGCAAAAAAGTCTTTCCTAAGGCTGATAGTGAAGGATACAACTATCCCCATTTGAGTGGTCAGGAACCTGAGATCTGAAAAGGATAAGCAATATGGGAGGGGTGAACTCTGCTGGGTCAGACCTTCTATTTTTTAACTTTCTCCTCTTGACTGTGTGGTCTTATGTGTAGTGATTGGACTTAAATCTAGGGAAGAGAAGTGTGTGTGTGTGTGTGTGTGTGTGTGTGTGAGAGAGAGAGAGAGAGAGAGAGAGAGAGAGAGAGAGAGAGAGAGAGAGAGAGAGAGAGAGAGACTAGGGTTAAGTATAAATCATCTAGCAAAAGAATTATATACACTCATGGGGCACAATGTGATGTTTTGACCTATACATACATTTGATGTTTGACGTAAGAGGAAAGAACATACGTTTGATTGGTCAAACGTTCTGTAAGTCCTCTTCTCTCTCCTTTCTTTGTTCATCTGGTCATTTTATTTTTGACTAGTAAATTTCACTAAAGGATGGGGTAGGGAGAAAAAAGAAGATATGAAAGTCAGATTAGGTAGTGCAGAGAATAATTTTAATAAAAGCCTCAGCAGAGAATGCAGTTGTAATTAGAACTAAAATGAAATTCTGAAATCCTACCGGATTGAAGTTTGCCTTGCTCTCCTGATCCTTTGTTCCTTTAAAAACCCAAGTTCAATTACGCCAAGTACCTCGTGAGGCTCTGCTGCTTTTGACTTGCTGAAGAAGGCATGTCTGCACCAGGATGCCTGGTGACAGCGTCTAACAGACTTACCTATTTCAGTTTGCAGTGATGATCTCACCCACAAATTCAAAGGTTTCACCGTGATGAACGAAGCGGAGAGATATGAAGCTCTCAGACACTGTCGCTATGTGGATGAAGTCATCAGAGATGCTCCGTGGACTCTGACACCAGAGTTTCTGGAAAAACACAAGGTACTTCTTATTGTCCCATGTTCTCTAAGTAGCAGGATTAGGAATCTGGCTCTGCAGCTGAAACTGCAGAAATCCCAAACCCTTCCGGTTTCAGGAACTGTCATTTACTGTCAACTTGATGTACCACCTCTCTTCTGTCCAAGCCTGGGAACCTCTATCTTATCATTTCCTTGACTATAGATGCTAGACCTAGACCACCCAGGTCCGCCTGCTGTCTCTCTCTTCTTCTAACTGGGACCTGGAGCAAGATATTTAACCATATAGTACTCACTTAACCTCATCTGTAAAATGGGATGGTATTGGTATCTTCTGCTTGAAGCCATTTTGAGGATCTCATGAGAGAATCTAAGTAAAGCACTTGGAAAACTGGCTGGCCCATACATGGCAAGAGCTCCAACAATGTCACCACCATTGCCATTACCACCATCGTTTCTGGTGCTTACAGATTCACGGGCCTCCTTTTGCATGGAACAAATATGTACACATCTTACCCAGAAGGTCAAGGCCAGCCTTTAAGGAAAATCTTCATATTTCTAATTTTGTGACCCTGAGATTCCTACTGACATAAGATTTTTATTAGTTGAAAACATGAAAAACTCTTTTGATCTGCATCAAATTATGTGCTTTGTATCTTCCTGCCAGCCTCACATTAGGAGCTATTCTTTCCTTTTACAAGCAGTACAAAAAAATAAGATTAAGCTGTTCTAAGAATTTTCTTTTCTATTTTTAAATTCACATTGCAGAAGAGAATAGAGAACACTGATAAATGTGCATGGGTAATAGCAGAGAGACAATTTCCTAGTGAGAATAAAAAGAAAAGGAAAAAACTACAATATGATTTACTTTCATTAATCACTAACACATTTTTACTAGGCATCTATTGTATATTCAACATGTGATAGGCGTTATAGGGGATACTGGTGATGGTAATGATGGCTGCCATTTATTGAGTATTTACCATGGGCCTAGCACCGTGCTAAGGCTTTTGCTATTATTACAAGTTGAATTCAATCTCATGGCTCCCCTACGATGTCGTTGTTGTTATTGTACATTGGAGAGGGAGAGGAGGAACTAAGCTTGAGTACAGAGTGCAGAATTAATAAAAGCAATAATGACCATATTTACTGAATACTTACTATATACCAGTTATTACTTTCAAGCACTGGTACATAATTGCATCATTTAATCCAGTGAGTTTGCCCCGAAGGGATATTTGACAATGTCTGGAGACATTTTTGTTGTCATAGCTAGAGGGTGCTACTGGCATCTAGTGGATAAAGATATGGGATGCTGCTGAGCATCCTACAATACATAGGACAGCCACAGACACCAAAAAATTGTCCAGCCCCCAATGTCACTAGCACTGAAGTGGAGAAATCTAGACTGAATCTTTCCCACCAACTTATGAGTTACAGCTAATAAGCGGTAGGGCGTGAATCATACCCTGGCAAATTCAACTCCTACTCTACACCACCTCTCAAGGTGAGAGAAAGTTTCATTATAAAAGGCTGTGAAAGCTGTGCAAGGAGAGTTTAGTGGATGCAACAGGAGATGGGGATGAGGTCATCAGGTGTGAGGAGGGCCAGAAGGGAGCTGTTTAAGGAGGACAGCGCATGTGACAGCAGGATGGCTTGGAGAGCGTGGAGCCTATGGTGAGGACAAGTTGGTGTCAGTAATCCAGGTGACAGATCCCTGGATTTAGTATAGCAGCAATGGAGAGGAAGTGAGGGGCCCACGCACATGTATATGCATACATGTGTTTGGGCACATGTGCATGCGTACACACACACCCCAGTGGAACCTGGAACTATGGAACATGGAGACAGCCACAGACACCAAAGAATTATCCAGCCCCCAATGTCAGCTCCAACTTTTTGGTCTAGGTCGGCTGAGCAAATGGAGGGACCCCTGGAAAGGGCCACTAGTTTTCAGGAAAATGAATTAAATTCAGGACAGGTTGATTTTTAAAGTGACAGCAAAAAGAGGGCCATAGTGGCTGTCATAAAAGCCTTCCCTAGTTCCTTCCTGCCCACCCCATTTTCAAAAGCCACTAACAAGCTGTGTGACATTGGGCCCATGGAACAAGTTCTCTAGTGCCAGTACCCTATGTCCTAACTGGCGTAGCGCTATGTCCCCACCCACCCGACAAGGTTATGAGGTTCAAATAAGAAAAGAGAAAAATTCATTTCCTCAATATATAATATGACCAAAGTGCAAAGGCCTACTGCCATCAGTGGGTGAGGAGATGGAAATTTGGGTTGTTCATCATGGCAGGGGTGCTTAAAATCTGAGAAATGAATGAGTTTTCTGAAGCAGCAAGTTTATAGGCAGAAGCGCAGAAGGTCAAGAACAGCTACTGTTGGAGGTAGCAGAGAGACCACCAAAGGAAAGGAACCAAACATTCATTTTTCTCAGCTACCATCACCTCATGGAAATAGAGATAGTTGGAAATACCTTTCTTCAAAGATTCAGATCCGCACTGTAAATGTAACATATAGGTGCCTTGTTTCACAAAGGCATTTGGGGGTCTGGTGAAGGGACTGGTGAGTCCCCTTTAAATATGCAGATAAGTATATCCATCCTAGTGGTGACGTCACTCTTCTCTCCAACAGATTGACTTTGTGGCTCATGATGACATTCCCTACTCTTCTGCCGGCTCTGATGATGTTTACAAGCACATAAAGGAAGCAGGTGAGGTAGCGCCTGTGTTCACTTGTCCACCACCCCAAATAATGAGGTACAAGAAGACATCTGCTCTAAGACTGCAGTATATATTCTGTCAAAAAATGTATATACCCTTCAGCAGTTCGCTGTACTAATAAACGTCTGGAAGCTCATGGCCACCACTTTGACACCTCTTGTAATTGTAGAAGCCAAAGGTAATTTGTATTCACTTCATGATGTCTGAATAAATTTAGTATTAATATATTTATATGAATTTTTCTTTTCCTGATGTATACTTTTTTTTGAGATAAGGTCTCACACTATGTAGTTGCAGGCTGGCCTTGAACTCACAGCAATCCTCCTGCATCAGCCTCCTGGGTGCTGGGATTATATGTGTGAGCCACCACACCTGGCTCCTGATATATACATTTTGGTGCTCTGTCTCCCTCTCTGTCTCCCTCTCTCTCTTCTCTTTCTCTCCATATATATATATGAATTTCAGGTATCTCACAAGCAGCTTCTACAAAGCTTCTCTTACATATGCCAAGGCTCAGTCATGGCACAGATGCCATTTAGGTATTTATACAGGAATTAACCTGGACACCAATGTACTCGAACGCAGGCCTGAGGCTGATTTTAGAGAGCTCGTCAGCCTAAAATCACAGAAGGAACAAAACCGTGCTTTGTTAATTTTATGCCTCATTCTGTACCCTGGTCTGCTCAGCTTCTGGTTCTTGATAATTCAAGGGACCCTCCAGGCACTTAGAATACCCTTTTTGTACTTGCTTTTTTTGCCTTAAAAAAACAAATTTATTTCCTTACAATTCTGGAGGTTAGAAGTCCAAAAGTGTAAACAGGTTTAGGCTCACATCTCTCTTTAACTTGCAGATGGCTGCCTTCTCTATGTGTTCTCTCATGGACACCCCTCTGTCTGTATTTTCTGTATCTTAATCTCTTCGTTTCTTCCTTCCTCCCTTCCCCCTGTGCTCCTTTCCTCCCTCCTTCCTGCACTGAGAATCAAGCCCAGGGCCTTGCACATGCCAGGCAAGTGCTCTTCCACTAAGCTGTACTTGCTTTTATTAATTCCTTTTTCCAATGAGTTTTAAAAGGAGCCTGTTTTAGAAGTCAAAGACTGAGCGAGGTCTCCTGCATTCTGAGCTCCATCTACCTTCCTTTGAAATGGAGATCTTACTGACAGTGGGAGCAAGGCCTCGAGACAGACATGATCCCAGAAATGAAAATGACATTGGATAAAAATTCAGGAAATTATTCTGCTCCATAAGATGTACCCGTCCATCCTGATGGTGTTTTGATCATTTCCCAACTTTTTGGAGCCATCCAGGGAAGCTCCATGCCACCCCCAATGGGGACGGTAGTCAGGTCTCTACCATCCTTTCAGCAAGGGCTTCCTCAGTGGTCAGGAGCTTTGGAAAGAATGGGAGGCCTGACACTCTTAAGTCCTGATCTTTTTTGTGAGGAGTTCCAAGAAAAGAAATCCCATACGCTTTAGGTCTAGAAGGCTGCTGAGAAGTCGAAAAACAGTGCTGGAGAGGGGGGAAAACCGGCTGAAGCACAGTCACATCAAGGCGGGTTATGGCATGGGGTGATTAACACCTTTTTAAGTCTGTAAAATCGGAGCTAGAACCAACCGCTCTTTCCCTAACATTGCCACTGGTACAGACCACTGCTTTTCAAATTTCAATCTGCAGGCTCTCGCGAGAACTCAGCTTTGGATTCAGTAGGTCTGGAGTGGCCTGAGATTCCCATTTCTAATGAGCTCCCAGGTTGCAGGTCCATAGACCTTATTCAGAGCAGCAGGGATCTAGACCAGGGCTTGGGGTCCAGCTAAGTCACCCCCAGCATTAACTGAATCACTATTCCTGGGGTGAGCATTCCTCAGCGACCTTGTACTGCAGGAACAACGAGGTGCTAGTTTTCCTTCTGGGCGAGCACCTCCCCTGAGGTAAGAATAGGTTGCTTTCCTGATTTCATGGAGTAAAATGTCAAATTCCAGTTGTGTCCATGTAGGAACAAGCCCAATATTTTTCTAACTTTAGCAGTCCAGCATCCCTATTATGTAACACAACGACTCCCAAAATTAAGTGATTTGAAAGAGTGACTTTATTTTGCTCCTGATTATGCAGGGCAGGATTTTAATGGGGATGTGGCTGCACGCTTCTTGCTGGAGTTTCTCAAATAGTTGTCAGGTGTTGGCAGGGGCTGCAGTGGTCTGAAAGCTCAGCTGGGCTGGGGCTCCCGGACTGCCCACTTACGTGGCTGACCCTGGATGCCAGCTGTCAGCAGGCTCGTTGTGGCTGTCACTAGGTTGCCTGCATGTGGCCTCCTCACGTTGCTCGGGCTTCTCACAGCATGGTGGCTTAGAGGAACTGTCTAGAGAGGAAGCAGTCTTGACAGAAGCCACACGACCTCTTGTGATCTAGCCTTGGGAGTCACACAGTGTCATGCCACATTCTATTAAGTACAAGCGAGTCACCAAGCGAGCCCAAAGTCAGGGGGAAGGAAACTGTGGCCACCTTTAATCTACCATAATTCCCTTTCCAAATGGAATAGCCAGGTGGGTATTTTAGTTGCTCTGGGACACAGGCCTAAGACTGTGTATGACTTTTCATATGCCCAAGGACTCTTCCTTCTGGCCCGTTAATCTGCTCTGCTGAGTCTTCGCCAGCAGAGAGTAACAGTAAAGTTCTATTTGAGGGCAAGGTAGAGAAGGCCAGAGTTCACTGTGGGAAAAATATGCCCAGAAATGCCCTCAGCACCCACATTTGGCTTTTGTACTCTAACTGTGGTTTATTTTGAAAGTCAGAAATCACTTGAAGTGAAGCCAAAGGCATGAAGGGCGTGAATTAAGCTTTACAACACTGCTCTGCTTGTCAGAGCTACATGTCAAAATCCTCTAGCAAAGCTGGATGAAGTGATGGAGCCAAAATTAAGTAGACTGTAAGGTCCACATTACTCATCATCATGCTAATATTGCCTACTACGGTTGAAAGTTTCCTTCATTAACATGTGCTTGGCTGCTTCTTAAAATAGCTCCATAACCAAATGCCGCAATTCTGAAAAGCATGATAAAAAAGGTTCTCTGATCATGCTCATTACTGAATATTTTTAGCAGAGCAATAATTAGGATTTGGAGGAAGCCGGGTGCCTCATTATGTCAGCAGAGGGCTTGGCTTCTTTCACAGACCTACCTCCCCACCAGCCAAAGCGAATCTCTCCCCGCCCCCAAATCTACTTTCAGTTACTGGACCACAGAACCTCACCCTCTGGCTTCAAAGAAAGGGTGAGCTCACGTTGCCGATGTCTAAATGCCTTTCTAAAGCCCGTTAGTAGCCAGAAAATTATCTTCACGTTCCAGCAGCAGGAGTGTGGGTGAAATATCTGCCTGCTAAAAGATGGGCTGGATTTCTCACCAGAAAACTTCCTGTTGCTCCCGTCAAGACAGAGATGTCATCCCAGGCCCCCTAGCTTAGAAGCACAGTGCTATTTATATCCACGTGTTTCGATGTTTGCACCCTCTGCCTTCTATTTAGTTTTCTGTGTTTGATCCCACCCTCCAAGAAGGTAATTAAGGAACATTTCAGAGTTGGTGGCAAACCCCGACTGTCCTTCTGGCTGGTTGCTCTGTCTGTGACGTCAGCAGTGCACCCCTGCTGCCCGTGCTGTGAATGTGCAGTGACATCTGCAAAGGGGCACCCTGGCTGGGCTGCAAAACTGAAAAATCCAGAGAGAACTGGATGTGAGAGGGCCCTGAGAGGTCAGTATTCATTCATTTAACAAACACTGCTCTAGTGCCTGCTTGTCCCTGGGAGCGCAGAAGAGAAGCAAGAGCGGAGCAGCTCCAAGACAGTGACTCGGGGCTGGGGATTTAGCTCAGCGGCAAAGCGCCTCCCTGGCAAGCGCAAGGTCGTGAGTTCAATTCCTGGTACCGGAGGAAAAGACAAAAAAAAAGACAGTGACTCAACAAGTTGCTCTCCGAAGGCCTTGCAGTATCTGAAAGGAAAGGGCGGCGGCACACGGAAGGGAATAACAACCACAACGGCTCAGTTCAGGGGCTGAGACATTTCCTTGAGGAAGTGACATTAAAGCTGAAACCCAGTAGATGACCAAATATTCACCAGATGGAGGTTGTATTTGTGACAGAGTGGAGAGCCCCTCCCGTGAACACTTTCAGGACCCTGAAGCAGTACAGGGTGGCTGGGCTGACACAGGGTCAGTCTGTTGCTTAACTCCACAGAGTATAGCAAGAACAAAGCTTGAAGTTGTGTGGTGCAGATGCCTGGGGTTAGAGAGTGAAGGGGAGAGGGTCTGAGAAAGAAGTACTACGGGAAAGTGCTTGTGCAGCCCCAGGTCAGCTTTGACTCTGAATCCAGAGGACAGGAGAAGTTAATACAGGGCAGCTGACCTGCATTTAGAAAGACCTCTGTGGATCTTGTTACATGGGTTGCAGTGGACAAAAATGACCTTGCTGGGGCTGGTAATGTAGGGGATGATAGAGCCACTGGCTAGGGTGTGTGAGCCCCTGTGGTCCATCCCCAGCACCCCCGCCACACACACACACACACACACACACACACACACACACACACACGCCACGGACACAACACATTGCTGGAGACTGGTTTTGAGGCTCTTGCTGTAATCTTTGAACAAGATGGTGTTGGACTGGTTGAGGATGAAGGGTGGAGAAAGGGGGGCAACTTAGGGAATCATTTGAGAAGAAAATTGAGGATTAGAAATGATTGGAGATGGAAGTGGAGAAGAAGGAAACGGCATAGATGAGCCCCGGGTGATGCTGTCCAGCTACCTCATTTCTTGGCTGGGGAGACTAAGGGCAAACAACTTGCCTTCAGAGGGTTGGAGCAGCTTGCCCAAATCTATGAACTGAGAAGCTGGTGCTCTTGTCCCCAGCTGCAATCTGTCATGCTGTTCCACATGTAATGTCTTCTTTTCTTCTTTTTGTTGTACCGGGGACTGAACGCAGGGCCTTTGCACTGAGCTACTTCCCCAGTCTTTTTTTAATTGTAATTTTTTTCTATTTTGAGATAAGGTGCCACTAATCTATTTTAACATAAGTTGTCACTAACTTACTAAATTACTTAGATTGGTCTTGAACTTGCGATCCTCTTGCCTCAGTCTCCCAAAGTGCAGGGATTACAGGTGTGTGCAGGCCATCACACCCTGCTACATGTCTCTAATTGGTTGTAATGATATAGAGTAAAAAAGATCTCAGTTGCCAACATTCATTTGAGCTGACAGCAGAACTTTGAGCATAAGTCCAATTCATGCCATTGCTAGCGTTTGCAATGTCTTTATAGCCTGTATTGCTTGGTAACCCAAACATATCTTTGAAGAGTTTAAAAACATCTAATAGAACTATTAGAACTTGATGTCCTCTGACCTTTATTTTTACTCAGTCCCACATATTCCAGATGAAAGGGCCTTTGAGTGGTGAAACTACCATGCAGAGTAGACAGCTCTTAGGGAGATAATATCATCTAGCATCCCACAAGCCTGTCTTTGGATTTGCAATAGCAAAACTAGTATAATTTTTCTTTTTTCCCTCAGTCTCAAGTGACACAGACTTCTGTGGGGAAGAAGGGGAGGTGCTATGTACGATCTGACTAATTCATTGACTCAATTAGTCTTTGTTCGCTTACTCACTGGATTTGCATTATTACTGTGCACCTTCCCCGTGCCATCCACAGGGGCACTGGGTTTGGGCGCTGGAGATGCAAATGCGGTTACAGCACAATCGTGCATTTGAAATGTTCGTTTCTATGTGCAGGCAGATATGAAGAGTGCTTTTATTAACAGAAAACATATCTGGGTCCAAAATGCTATGGATTCTGCCTGGCGAGGTCAGGAGAGACTTTCCAAGGCATAAGCATGAAGCCAGACCATAAGGACGAGGAGGAGCTCTGTAGTTGAACTGGGAGGGAAGGGCATTCAAGGCAGCAAGGAAGAGCTCAGTATGAAGGTAGCCAGGAGGGTGCTTGGTGCATCCTGGGAGCACACTGTTTACGGTGTGTGTGTGAGTGTGTGTGTGTGTGTGTGTGTGTGTGTGTGTATGGAAGTGAGGCAGGAAGAGCCAGCTGGGACCAGATCCAAAGGCCTCACTGGCACACCCAAGAGCTCCAACATGGTCCTGGGGAGGAGGGCCATTAAAGGAAATGAGTCCATCGAGGTGATCTTAATTTTATCTTTTCTTTCCTGCTTGAATAGGAATGTTTGTTCCGACGCAGAGAACAGAAGGCATCTCAACATCAGATATCATCACCAGAATCGTCCGTGACTATGATGTTTATGCCCGGCGCAACCTCCAGAGAGGGTACACAGCCAAGGAACTGAATGTCAGCTTTATAAACGTGAGTGTGCCACCCCAGGCCCACCAAGGAACACCATACCACACCACCACTACAGCCACAGCCACTTCCTGTGTGCTTCCTGTGTGCCACGCAGTGTCCTTAACGCTTTGCACTTACTGTCCCATGTAACCCACATAACAATTCAATGCTGTATTTTATTCCCATTTTATAGATGAGGAAACTAAAGTCCAAAGGGGTAACGTAAGTTAGCCAAGGAACACAGATAGCAAAAAGAGCTTCCTCACTTCCCTCCCCCTGCACCCCACCCCCAGCTTTCAGATTTGAGTGCGGGCTTTCCGGAAAATCTGCCCCTTGTGAAAGGCAAGAGTTGTCTTGTATTCAGAGGGAAGGAGGGAGGACAGGGGCAATGAACTGCTAAGCCCAGAGAAAATGCTTTGTTGTTTTAACATTTTAAAAAGTCTCATTTCATTAAGGCCTTACAGATGCTCGATAGAAACCTTAACAGCCATTTTCTTTTATTGTCCAGAAAAAATTACAGCTACTTAAATAAAAGCCTAAAGTCTTTGGCTTCTTTTGTATTTCTACCATATTGTTCCCAGGAGCTAGTGTTACTTTAACAATAGAACAACTGTTAAAACATTCTTTAAAACAAGCAAAACAAGCTGTTACAAAGCAAAGGGGCAGCTCGGTGGCTGGAGGTTATGTTAGTGAGTCCATACAACTGGATTTTCCTGGCCTCTGAGGAGCTGATATCTTTTATTAAAATCAGAGAACACATAGAGAATTTCAGCCCCCCCCAAATAGATACTATATTTTCAAAGAGCGATTTGGCTTCAAAACTAGGTACTTATAATGATAAGCCACCATAATTATCTTTCATCTCACATAGTGGTCATTAGTACCTACCTGCAAAATAGGAGGGGGTCATTAATTATAAGTCAATGGCTATTAATCATCCTCATGAGGCAAAGAGTGATGGGAGTGTAGGCTCTGTGGCTTCATACAAGTCGGGCAACAAAATGGAAAATGTTGGGTTCCGGTGGCACCAGAACAAATGGCTGAAAAGCATTCAGTCAAAGTGATTATTTGGTATCTTACAGAGAATAAAGCTCTGGTTATTTCAATAAATTAAACTGTCTGTTCTTTTAAATTGAATTCAGTCAACCGTCCAAGCATGGCAAGCCATTTCCAAAAGTTATTGCTCACTCTCCTTAAACGGTCTTTAGATAAGCCACTTAGCTCAAGGAACCATGCAGACAGTGTCGATACGCTCGCTGCCTTTTGGCGACAACAAGCCTGGCCTCAGCTCCGAGATGAACTTGAATGTGTTGGATGGGCGTGTACGTGAATCACAGAACCGGAGAAGTGGCAGGGACCTGACGGGGGCCATTCATCCAGCCCGAGTCCCTTCACTCAGAGAGGGCGAAAGCTGTGTGCGGGGAGGGCACCCGACCAACGTCCCTCGAGTAGCTGCCCAGTCTCATGACTCCCAGCCCAGTGTTCATTCTATTCCTCTGGGCTGGTCCTGTGAGCTGTACACATAACCATTTTCAGTGCAGAATGAATTATGGGAGAGAGTGACATAAAGACAACAGCTAACACTCACTGAGAGCTTATCATGTGCCTGTCTAAGTGTTTTACTTGGACTGCCTCACTTAATCCTCAGGATGAACCTACAAGGGTGGATACAATGACTATATCCAACATAGAGGCAAGGAAACAGAGGTCCAGAGGGGTTGAACAGCTCATCTAATGTCACATAGTAAATTGTAAAAGACAGGGTGACTTTCTATAGTGTGTGTGTGTGTGTGTGTGTGTGTGTGTGTGTAGCTGAGTGGCAATACACATAGATCATACCATACTCTCAGGCTGCAGTAAGGTTTGGAAGAGCTAAATTGAGGTTCTTGGCCCAGTTTTACAATCTTCAAGGCATTTCAGAAAATTCTGAAATGCAAAATGAGCATGAGTTCCACGTAGTAAGGAAGAACAGTATGTCTTACTAGCCCTTTAGGAAAAATATACCGTGATTCATTGGCGGGGGAGACCTTTCCTCATGTTATTTTCATTCTCTTGGTCACACACTCATCAGTAACTCAGATAAATGCCTAGGCCACTTACTAACAGTGAAACAGCCGACATACATTGAACATTTACTAAGTGGTAGGCTCTGTACCAAGCACATCCATGTATTATCTTACCTAATTATTACAGCAATCCTGTGAGGTAAGAATGATTATTATCCCAATTTTATAGTTGAGGAAACATAGTTTATTTATTTATTTATTTATTTCAATTCCACAGTTTTATTTTTAAATTTTTTTTATTTTAAAGAGAAAAAAATAAAAATAGCAATAAAACAGTT